AATATAGGATTCTAGGTTTATTAGAATAGAATAATATAAGGAATTTATTTACTATATATATAATTAATTATTATATAATCTAAACAAAGTTGAAATATGAATGAATTAATAAAAGCTATTAAGAAAAACGATTTCTAAAAATAATATTAAGTTTATTACAAAAAATTAAGATCTTATTCGAATCAGATTAGTTTTAATCTTTTGCTTTATAATATAAATATATAAAAAATTAATTTCTTATTTAAAATTAAATAATTTATCTTTAGCTTCCTACACTTTATTCAAATTATTATAAATGTGTATAAATCAATTTAGAATTATTATATAATTTAAGGGAATGTTTTGATTAAAAAAAGAAAGCTGAGGTAGTATTATAGCTTATATATAAGATTCGAGATTGAAATAAATATAATAAAATTGAGTAGTAAAGTTATCAATTGTAATATCGTTTATTTATAATTTTACTTGAATTAAAAATAATTATGTATCAAATTTCTGAAAATTATTATTAAATTTTTCAGGATTAAGGAAAAAGGGTTTCGATTGAGAAAATGTTTAAGTGATAGGAGTATACTTAAGAATTAAAAAGTATAAAAACGAGATTTTATTCTATTAACAAATCACTTTGCTATAAAATTCTATAATTATAAGATTTATCGAATTATAATTTATAGCTAAGAAATTAAAGATAAGAAAAAAGATAACATTTTTAAATAATAATAAAAAGATTTATATATAAATAAAAAAGTAAAAACAATATATTTAAACAGAAATAAATAGAATATATATAAAGACTTTATTTATAAGTATATATTAATATTATTTTATTTTTTATTTAAAAGAACTTTTAATAATATAATAAACCTAATAAACATTTAAAAATCAATTTTAGAATTAAAAGCTATAAAATTAAAAAGAGTATACTATAAAGCTATATATCCGATCAGCTTGGAGCTTAGTGTTATACTAGCCCGATCGGATGCGATCACGTGTATACCGTGACACCTTCTGTACTTAATTAGTATGCTAATGCACATGACTGAGGTTATCTGGTGATTAGTTGGGATTCACTCTCTAACACCTGACCGACCCTTGAAACATACATGGAAGTGAATCATCGAGTTTTGTGATTTGTGTTGGAATACTAAATACAGAGATATGAAAGTTGTCTGTCTTGCTTTCTCCATCTTTTCTTTTCTGTAGCCCATCGGCAGGTCACTGTGCAAGAATGGATTAATGGAATGGTCGCGTGTAGAACAGCTGCTTCTGCGACGCGGTGATTGATATCTTTGGAGAATATGTCATGGAGTAAGTAAGGAGTTTTTCCGCAAAGCTGATGGTAAGATTCGTTGTTGATGGGTTTTTCGATAGTAGCTGATTAAGGACAATAGCCGAGGTTCGCTCTTGGGGATTGACAATGAGTGAGTGTATTGAGTAAATAAGTGACAACAACTTCATTATATTAATAAAATTTATTTCAATCTTACCTACTACCTACTTACAATGAATATGTGAATATATCGGATGATGTGCACTCAAAAACTTTACAAAAATAGACCAGCAACGTCTAACCTCCCTCATTAGTCCTGTAGAAGCTTTTGTCCTCTTCTCATTCTTTTTGCTGTCCATTTGCAAATACGTGATTGAGTATCTAATTTATACCAACCAATAGCAAAAGATCTACAACCTAAAAGAATATACCCCAAGACACCTGCACCCCAAAAAAATTCGCAAAAGAAATTCCGGTACGGGGAATTGAACCCCGGTCTCCCGCGACTTGATTGAAGCTGGCAAGCTTCGAATGAGAGGCGGAAATGCTAGCCACTACACCATGCCGGATATTTGATGGAATGATATATGTCGGATGCCTCTCTAAAAATATGTTACAACTTTGAAACGTGGGGTGAAGAGAATTTTGTTAGAAGAAATTTTAAGCGAGGGACGTGGGGGCGGGCTTCGGGTGGGGGTGAGATGGATAGATGAATGGAATGTTATATATTGAGGGTTGGGAATTTTGAGATTGTATCGTTGTGATACGAATACTAAACAGATACTGTTACATGGTCTTGAGGAGTGTTTTTTTGTCTCTAGATGAAACATATCGATTTTATGCAAATTTATTGGGAGTAATGGGAATGAGAAGTTATCGTATGCTTCTTTCTGACGTCAAATATTACAAAGGGCGACAACTTGTAAGCGCTGTTCTTCAAATATGAGCGCCATCAATTTGAATGTGAGTGTCTGTGAAGGATTTACTACGAACCGTGATAGCTCGATAGTAATCTCGCTGTCGTCAAGTCTTTGATTGCAAATATTCTTTCTACAAACTCGCCCGCCGAATATACCCGCCATCGATCACTTCACGTGAGATGTGTCTTGGCTCCCGTACTATTTTTGATATTAGTACGGTGGATTTATGTCTAATGCAGAGCATAGAAAGTTTGGGCTAAGACTGTTCAATGCCTATTGCCGAAGGAATGCATACTCTGTTTGCAATATATATCGATCTCCGGTTATGGTCCGTGATTCATGTATCTAAGTTTCAAGGTGAACTCGAGAATGCAAAGTATCTACAGTCAAATTGCGGGCGGGGAAATGGCCTAGTTGGCTTTGGATTTTCCTGGTATTCACTATCTCGATCGTAACTTTTTATAAATTTTCGGATATAAAATACGCTGCAGGAGTCGAAGGCCATGCCTCAAAGCTTTGATTCCATCATTATATAGACCTTAGGTTTGATAATTCTGTAAGAACTAGCAAGCTAGGTCAACAGGGCCCCAAAACTGTAAGGTTCTTGTATTGCTAGTAGCATCTCAAGTACCGCGTATCTTCAAGTCTAGTGGCAACAAGAATCTCCTATTATCACTTTCCCATTCTTCTACTATCATTCTCTAACGGAAAGATACTTATTAGTTTCTAAATCTCGAAATACCAATTCGCACACGAGTACTCTGGTATTATCAATCTCTTTACTCTTCTTGGAAACTGGTGATGTCAAACAAATCTCGCTCCCACCGAGCATGTTGTTGTTTTTAAAATCGAACCCGCCGCCCGCGCATTATGTCGGCTGGAAGATGTCTGTGTGTTTATTTATAACATTCCTGTAGCTGCTTGAAGCCGAGATCTCGGAAGAAGTGAAGAGCCTCGTATTCTCATTCAACGATATAAGATTAGCAAACGACACTCTCCCCTCCCCTCTATGGATACCATAAAATCCATAACTCTACTGCTCCTGTCAAAGCTTACTACCCCAGCACAAGCTGACCAAATTCTTCCTTTTTCGGCCACTTGATGATCATTGAAGCTCCCTCTAGATTGAAGATTTAGATGGATCAAACGAGGAAAGGAGACTTATCTGGTTGACTACGAGACCTGGACTCCAAGACCTAGCGAGAAGGCTCAGATATTTGTTAAATGTTCCTATTAAGTCTAAAATTATCAATGGAGAGAAAGACTTGTGCAAAAATAGTATTCGTTGCCTAATCTTCTTCGAGGCAATGAGATTGATAATAGCTATTTGTTATTGTCGTCATCTCATCTTACAGCTTTTTGCCATCACTACCCTCCAATGCATTTAGTTCATTGTACTTTCCTGCTTTTACTTGAAGGAACTATAAAGTTGTAAATTACAATTTGCATATCCTGGGTTGAAACACCTGCCAAGCTCAAGGCGTACCATCACCCCAGTCCTTGATGAAAACTTTTGCCTTTCATTTTCCTTGCAATCCCATGTGGAAAAGAATCTGTTCCCTTTGTAAGTTCTCACATTGTTCAGCCTGCAGTGGGTGGTGCGTACTATGGAGCTCGGATGTAGATGGTGAGTTCAACTGATTTGATCTTCACACTCCTCGTTCTCGTGTTTGGTAAAACCAGGAAGTGAAGCTGCATTTTGATAATAACTTCATACTCAAATCACCTAGAAAAAAGAATCAAAAGAGTCCTTCTGTTCAAAATACTCATGTTGAATCAGAGCTTCAAGAATCCCAAGCGACCCTTAGATATCGCGAGTGCAGACGGACAGAATGGGCTGATATCTTCAGGAAATTATCTTGCAGCCGAGTTGCCATCGTCTTACCTGATTCAAACTTGTTGTGTACGGTACAAATGCTTTCTTAAGACCCAAACGGTGAATTTGATACAAAATTTTAATAACACACAAATCATTGGCATGCTTTACTCTACTTTCTCGCTATCAAAGGTCATACGGTAGTTCAAGTACTAAGCATCCAACCAACCCCAAATAAACCCTTTTAAACTCTTCAACATCCAACATAGACTAACTCCAACGTAGGACACCAAAGTATCAGCACTTGAGATTCATAATAGAGCACTAATAGAATACGTAGCTATTTAAGAATGACACCAGCTGAATGTTTTTGACAGACTTCTATAAATACAGAGGGGAAATGCTTCTCCAAGTCCTTACTCTAATCTCAAGTTGTTTACTTGTCAAAGTTGGACGTTTAAGAAATGATTACCTTCTATGATCATTATTTCAGAAGGCGCAGTCGAGATAGCTTTTTTGAGCCCAGAAGGAGCTTCTGGTTTTTTGCAAAATGGGAAGGGCTTACCCGATTCTGATTCTAATATAGAACCCAATTCTGGAATTTTCGCAAGTGAATACCAAGACTACGAATAGTGTATCAGCTTGGCCACCTCTAGGCTAAGGATTTGGGTGGTTTCGACAAACATGATTGAACTTATTGGAGGTGGCATTCACTACTACCGCTGTACCTACACATGAATGATTTAAGATAGTTAGTAGTTTATCCTCATCTATATATCTCTAGTAGAGAAATTATCATACGGCTATAAACTCCCAATCAATCAGGTGACCATACTCGCTGTAGCTAGTTTGGCCAATACAAGCCAGCCACTGCTAACTAGTACATCCTCTCACATAAGGGCATTCTTCAACCCCCTTCTGTCACTACTCATTTGCAAATACATCGATTTTTTCAACATCTACGACTTCAATAATATCTAGACCCATTCCCGAAATGGATGGTATTAAACCACACCTCGTTCTGTTTCGACAAAATCCATTTTGATTGAATAGAAATCTTGCCGCCTCGGTGCCAAATCCATCAGATGCCTTGAAAAACTCGCCTTTGCGCATAGTTCCAGACGATTTTATGCAACTTTTTGCTAAACATCTTACCCCTGCATCGGCTAGATCCTTTTTCCTCACTTGTCGACAAATTGGCTTGGTGATTGGAACGCAATATATCGATGGCCTGAAGACTTCGAAAGACGACACGCTGGAATTCCTGAATCTTTTGGAACATGATCTTCAAGATCAAATCGTTTGTACTTTCTACAGAAAGCTTCATAGCATACGAAATGCTGAGATATACCAAAAAGTCTTATTACTGAGCCCTGTGGTGGCAAAGTTAATATTACAGACAAAAAGAAATTCAATATAAATCCCTATATAAATTTCTATTATATTTATAACGATATTAATATCTCTTTCATTATCAATAAAACATTGATTTTATTAATAGCAAATATTATTGGCACAAAATGCGATCTGTTTATTATTGAATTTTAATAGAAAATAAGAAAATAAGAGCTCTTAAAAGCCTTTAAGATTTTAAAATCTTTGAATATTAAAGTTGTAAAAAAGATAAACGAAAGAGTATGTGTATAAAAGCTAAAACGAGGTTATAAAAATAAATATAAATTAAGAAAAAGAAGAAGGGGAATGAGTGTAGAAACTAGAATGAATAAAAGATATTAGTTGAAAGTCTAAAGAGAGGTTTGTTCATCAATTATATTACTTCACCTTCGATTTATTCTTTAATTAAAAGCTTTATCATTATACTATATAATATAGAATATATTAATAAATAATATAATCTGATTTTAATATAAATGAATCTTTTTATTTGAAAATAATTGTTTTAAATTAAAAGTTAGAATTAGCTTTCGAAATTCAAGAAATTCATTAAGATCCTATTGATTAAAATAAGCTTTGTAAACTATAAAGATTTAGATTAATTATATTAATACTTTAAAAACGATTTATTCAATATATAATTAAAGGATTAAAGAATTTATTATAATAATAAAGAGTCCACTTCGTTAAGTACTGATTCTGCCACCATAGGGGGGATGGATTTTCAACCGACCCTGAGGGTTTCTCGACTTCCACCATTTGATACGATACCAGCTTGTTTAAAAGAAGATCAATCGCGCGAGATGGATGTGTATATTCACAAGAACTTTGGTGTCACCATTTCTAATATGGCATTGAAAAACCACCGCGTTTTTGGTAACGACGCCCAAACCCAGCGGCTCATAAGACTTTTGTCAGCACCCGAGAACTACTCCCATGATAGGTTTTCCAAAAATGTGACAACAGAGAAGAGAGGAGAATGCCGTTTGGAGAATGGTTCCCTATTCACCCGGAAATTCATGAATTACAATGGGAAATGTCAAAGTGTCGGAGCACTTGTTTATATACCTATTTGCCCTCATCTTAATTTCGAGAAAGATGGTTTTAACTTCCGCGCCACATTATACCGTGCCTACAGTAGAGCTGAAGATATATGGTCAGCATTACAACTACCTTGTCAGGAAAAAACCGGCACCGACGAGAAGAACAAATCTCAGGATATTCAATCGGGGCTTTTGCAGTGTAAGTATTGTCTAACAGTATGCAAATTTCAATTGAAGCACCACAACCGACACGCCATCTCTCACTGTAACACAGCACTGGCAATCGTTGTTTACAAGCAATTTGAGTCGGAGGAAGATTGGAGAATGCACCTTCCGTTTTATGATTCAGATGACGAGGAAAGCGAACCGATCGAGTTTTCTAAAGAGAAAATCAGCTCTGTCTTTGAAGTGGATGATACTGGTTCTGAAACTAGATTTACTTGTTGGGGGGGCCTTACATGATTCCTTAGCTCGCTTCCTGTGAGAATATGGGAGATCGAATTCAAAGAGTGTTATTTTGCATGGCAAAAGGCGTTTCTAGATGAACTGGAATTGTTTTGTCTTGCAGTCGTATTGTTACTAGTGTACTGGCATAGTACATGAGTAAGGTAACGAACAATATCTACAACTCCCATCTTTGGATAATCTTCTCGCTATAAACTCTCGATATGAACATCATTCATGAAGATGCATGTCATATCTCTAAGATTTCACGAAATGCAACAATCTAGGAAGGGATCCGATCTCATTTCCCGGGTCAATATAATGGGCAAGGAACAAACTGATATCAAGATAGCTGAAACTCAAATTATGGATTCCGATATGAGTGTGATGTTAATGGCACTAGACTCAGAACTCTAGACTCTGCTAAAGATTACAATGGGGAGAAATTGGAGAAAGTTATTATTGTGGTTTATTGGGGCAGGCGAAAGATCAGAGTGTCTAACAGTCTTCTGGACTGTAGTTTAATAATAATAACAATAAAGATTATCAAATTTTCAAATCAATCAGAATAATTGTTGGAGGTAATTTTCCAGAATATAATAATAATAATATTCTAGTAATAGTGGAAGACTTAGTCACTTTAGCTTGAAGGACAAATCGAATATAATAAAAGAATTGAATTGAATAAGAAAGAGCTTAATTAAACTAAATTTGCTTTCTTTTTTTTAGGTTTTCTTTAAAGAATATCCTAGGTTTATATAGTTTATAATGAAATTCCAGTAGTTTCTATGTGTTACGACGGCATCCAACATACCGCGTCACATGGTCAGGAAGTCACGTGATGGACCTAGAGGATCTAGGGGATCGAAGAATAAACATCTAGATCCATAGGATCCAGAGGATCCAGACAAGACAGAACTGTAGGTTCTGCAGAGCAGGAAGGTCTATATAAGAGAACAGATTTCATTACAATGTAGAGCTTCGTGCTCAAGAACAATCATTAGTTTCATTACTATAGTTACGAGAATTGCAACCAGTAACAACCTTATTGAATTCCTACTTGAAATCTAGTCTAAACCACCTCGAGAGATCTCTAGACACTTCCACGTGACCCTAGAGGCAGCTCCCGTAACACTATGCTTATAAATAAGATCGATTTAAATCGAATCTTACAGAATCATTTTATATTATAAAAGAAAAATAAAATCAATCAATTTAGTTAGTTTATTAATAATCTTCTATATGATTTCATTTCATTCTATTTCATTATAAATCAATTTGATAAGAGATATAGCTATATTATAATATAACGTAACTTGACTAGAAGTGGGTCATGTCATGATATGGGTCAAAATCACCCCCTTATTTCTTTATTTTACGTGTTTATTCAACACACAATGGATCGAAAGTCATTAAATCGTAATGAATCAGAAGATAATATTCAAAAGGCTATAGAAAGTCTAAAAAATAAACAATTTACTTCAATTCGAAGTGTTATTATTCATTTTAAGATTCCAAAGTCAATCTTGATAAATTAAATAATTGGACAACAATTATGCTCTCAATCTTACGAATCCTTTCAAAAAATTTCCAACATGGAAAAGAAGACTTTAGTATGATAGATCTCATAATTGACAGCTACTGGATACTCTGTAACTTCTAGGTTGTTGAAAGAAATAGTTTAAGAAATTCTAAATCAATGCGTCATTTTCGTGTTACTATCTACCTCTTCATCTTTTCAATCAAATTATATAGATTAATAATGGATCTATAGGTTCTTAAATCGATATTTCAAACTTAAAGGAATCTATTCTTGTAAATTGGAATTTGTAAGGCATAAAGAAGTTACATTTGAAACAATTTCAATATGGTTTTCAATATTTCAAGTATGAATCGAAGAACGATATTATAAATTCAAGAATATATATAACATGAATAAGATAGGATATACAATTGAAGAAACAGAATCAACACATATAATCATGAATTCTACTCTCAAATCAAATTGAAAGGTTATAATAGAAAAGCAAGAGTGAATAACTGTATTGGAATGTGTGAATACAAATAAAGGCTTTTTACCCCCTATAATCATTTTCAAGGCTTAGAATACCAACACTATATGGATTTCAACTAACATTCCTCTAAACTGGTATTTCTTAACAAGCAATAGTGAGTGGATTTCTAATAGTTATAGCTTTGAATGGATATATAAGGTTTTTGAGCCAAAATCTCGAAAAATATTAGGAGATCAGTTTCGATTATTAATTATGGATAATCATTCTAATTATATTAACGTGGTTTATCATCATGCGGCCCATATCATCATGCGGCCCACTTTCACCTCAATTTGTATTTTTAAATCCATATTACTCAACAACAATTGATTCAATTGATTAAAACTATTAAGAATCTAATAATCTAGGATCTATTATATCGTTTTGACAAGTTCTTGAATTATGACCTGGTTTTCCACACTTACTACAGCATCTATTAGAAGATACTTCCCCATTAGGATTCCTCCCTTTTTGACGCTCGTCGCGTTGAATCTGAACATCAACCTCTTGCTGAGATAATATATCAAGAGCCTCTTGTCCAGTAAGTACTCCTCCTTGACGCAATTGGGTTTTTTTCGCACGTCGACGCTTGCTTAATGCCTCATTTGCTGCCCGAAGTGTACGGATCTCTGCACTTAAAAGTGTATTCTCATGAGCTAATCTCTCTGTGCCTTTAGCTAGAGCTAGTACAGTCTCAAATATAGGTGTAGGAGAGCTTGATTGATGACGATTGATTCAAGATTTAACTAATGTTGATTGAGAAAGAGCTTCTGTAGGATTGTGAGGAGTTTGAGAGGTCCAGAGGTCTAAATTGACAAAAGGAGGAGGACTAGGTGTATGTATTCGAATATCTAATTTTGAGAGTACTATTTCAGGATCAAAGGGGACTAATCCTGTTCCTCGGAATCCAGATTTCATATTCTGATTCGTGATCGATCGTTGATATGCAGCTTTGAAAGCTATAAAGAATTCGACCTTTGAGATATGATTGATATGTGCCCTTATAAACCCCTCAATTTGAGTACCATATTCTTGTTTTAACCTATTAAAACATCCGACATCAAGTGGTTGAGTTAAATGACTTGAATGCGGTGGTAGGCATACGCATATAATATCATTCTCCTTGCAATATGATTGAAAAGGTATGGATTCGTGGCTTTCGTGTCCGTCTAGCACCAACATTCGGTATTTGCCTACTCTGCAATCCTTTGTATGTTTATCGAAGTGTTTTAACCATTCCAATCCTGTCTCATTGTTCGTCCACCCATTGCTAGTAGGTTTAATAGCCCAATCTGCAGGAAGATCGGTTTCCGTATACCAATTGGAAAGATGCACCTGTCCTTGAACCACCAGGAATGGAGGTATGATTTCCCCTACACTACTACCGCATATGATCGCTGTCGCCCATTCCCTATTGCCTGGTTGTACTGCTTTACTCCTACCACTCCTCTCAGCACTAGTAACTACCATACCAGCATTTATAACTCCCATCATAAAGCCTGTTTCGTCGAAATTCCACATATCACAATCTTGTATACCAAATTTCGCTCGCATATTCGATATAAGACGAAACCACTTTCGAATAAACTCAGGATCCTCGCACAAAGCTCTTTGAAAGTCATAAACACGACTAAAACGCGTCTTTAATTCTTTATGACGCTTTACGAATCGATGCACCCAGAGCTTTCCAACCGCTTTTCCACCTCTCGATTCAAGAATATGATTCGCCATATCTTCCACCCCTTTAAGTTTAGGTGGAAAACCTCTCGAATCCATATCAAGAATATATTGAATAATGATCTCTTCTTCTAATTCTGTAAGTTTATGGGTTTTATGTCGATATTCTGTACGAGGGGTAAAACCGTCTATTCTACGCCGTAGTGTTGTACGTGGTATATTATACATCGTAGCAACCTTTCTAACACTTAGTTTTTTGTCTTTATGAATAGCATCGATAGCTAGGAGTATACGGGCTTCTTCATTATTCGAATGCATCGTGGGTTGTTGATAAAACGCGTGTTGAAATAAAAGGGTGCAAATTGAGGTGAAAGTGGGCCGCATGATGATATGGGCCGCATGATGATAAACCACGTTACAGAAAGTTTGATTGCTTTTTGTATTGAGAAAGAAATTAATCTTCTTATTTTACCACCTCATTGCTCACATCTACTTCAGCCATTGAATGTTAGAGTATATAGACCGATGAAGCGATATTATGCCCAAAAGGTTGATCAATACTTTCAAACAAGAATACAATGAATACAATGATCTAATTGAGTACAGCTTTTTCAAAAGATAAAAGAAAAAGGTTTTACTTATCAAAATATCAAAAGTGGATAGAAAGGAACAGGTTTGAATTCATTTAGTCCTCATCAAGTTCTAAATAATCTTCCAACCTCGCTTTTACTACTACCTTCCACTCTAAATACATTAGCAAACCTAGAAGATCTAGATCTCTCTTTGCTTAATAACTCTCCCTTGAATAATATTGAGCTGTGATAAGCAAATAAGGTATTCAATTCAACTTTATTCGTTAATAATCTGTCTATTTCTTTAGTATAAAGATATATAAAGCAAATAACTCATTAAATTGAAAACTTAAATATTAAAAATGCTATTCTTCGAAAAGAACTTCAAGAATATAAAAAGTTACTTGAAATACAAAAGAAATAAAAAAATGAAAAGAGAATAAAATTAAAAGGTGAATTTGTATTTAATACTAAAGAAGTATTGAAAATTATTGAGAAGGCTGAATAAACATTCTTATTAAAACAATAATGTGGTAGATTATTCAAACGTCAAATTGATTAAATAAAAAGGGAAATGGAAGAGGAAGAGGATAATAATAGTTCAATTGGATTAGTGATAGTTGTAAATTATTCTGTAGTATGTAGAACAAGATCAAATAGGAAAATATGATTTTTGTAACCCATATCATAACATAACCCACTTTTAGTCAAGTTA